AATACACCGCCAGGAGCTGGGCCAGCGCTGGCTGGAGCCCCAGCGCTGCAGCAAGGAGCAGATGCTGGAGCTGGTGGTGCTGGAGCACTTCCTGGCCATCCTGCCCCGGGAGATGCAGAGCTGGCAGTGTGGGGTGCAGTACAGAGACCTGTGCTGAGGCCATGGCCGTGGCTGAGGGGTTTCTGCTTGGACAGGGGGAAGATGAGAAACTCCACCTGAGAAAGTTTCACCCTGGTCATGGATGCTGCTGTCTGTGTTTGGGGGGGTGTTTCCTCCCAGCCCCATCTCTCCCAGCTCCCCAGTGACATACTTGTCTCATCTCCAGGTCACAATGAGTGTGAACATTGAGAAAGTGTCCTAAGACAAGATGCAATACACTTCAGTATTGCAGGAACCCAGTAATTCCTGGTCGGAGCAGCTGAAGACCCATTGTGTGGACAGGCCTCTAGAGGAGGCAGGAGAGAGGGAGACCCCAGGGCCTGGGGACAAGCCACTTCGTGTCCCCAAAGAGGAGCCCCTGCCCCACCAGGAGTCAGGTGAGGTACAGGATATAAGGCCTGGGCGTGGGTCTGGGTGCCTGAGTGGCTGTTCTGTATTAAGGGGAGAGGCTCGAATGCCTGCCCCTGCCCACGACAGGGCTGCAACCTGGGGCTGGGCTGGGACAGAGCTCTGATCCCTGTGGGTGGGCAGCTCCCAGGCTGGGGGCCCTGCACTCAATGCTCACTGGCCCCGTTCTCCTGTCCCCGCGAGCCCTCTGAGCCCAATACGGGGCTGGTGCAGGTGTCGGGGAAATGAGACTCCCCAGTGGCCCCCGGCTGGCTCCGGTGCAGCTAACCCAGGGCTCTGTCCTGCTGCAGAGTCCCCTGGAACCGAGGAGACCGGGGAGGTGTCAGCAGATGGAAGCTCCTCAGGCTGGTGCCCCAGACGAGGCCCTTCCCCAGGAGCAGGTAAGCAGCCATGATTCTCCCCTTTCCCGCAGCAGCAGGCATCGTCGCTCAGTGGAGAAATCTCTCTGCCCCAATATTTTGATGGGGTCAGTGCTTCAACAGATCAGCTGTTCTTGTTCTCCCAGTGTCCCTGGAAACATTTCACATGCCCTGGAGAAGATGGACCTTGCATTTCCCCTCCCCCTCCTTTAAGGAGGTGATACTTCCCCTCTATCGGGCGCTGGTCAGACCGCAGTGGGAGTACTGCGTGCAATTCTGGGCGCCGCACTACAAGAGGGATGTGGATAACCTGGAGAGGGTCCAGAGAAGGGCCACTCATATGGTTAAGGGCTTGCAGACCAAGCCCTACGAGGAGAGACGAGAGAAACTGGACCTTTTTAGCCTCCGCAAGAGAAGGTTGAGAGGCGACCTTGTGGCTGCCTATAAGTTCATCGCGGGGGCACAGAAGGGAATTGGTGAGGATTTATTCACCAAGGCGCCCCTGGGGGTTACAAGAAATAATGGCCACAAGCTAGCAGAGAGCAGATTTAGAATGGACATTAGGAAGAACTTCTTCACAGTTCGAGTGGCCAAGGTCTGGAACGGGCTCCCAAGGGAGGTGGTGCTCTCCCCTACCCTGGGGGTCTTCAAGAGGAGGTTAGATAGGCATCTGGCTGGGGTCATCTGAACCCAGCACTCTTTTCTGCCTATGCAGGGGGTCGGACTTGATGATCTATTGAGGTCCCTTTCCGACCCTAACATCTATGAATCTATGAATCTATGAACATGTGCATGCTAATAAAGCCCCAACAACCCTCCAGTTTCTTTCCCAGGGAGCGATGTCCCTGCAGGCTCTGACGTGATGTGATCACCACCCCACGCTGGGACAGTTATTTGGCTCATCTCCAGCCTCATGCCTGTGGAGGTCTATTAGAAGGAGCTGCGGGATTTTGAGTCCTCCTCCTCCCACCTCTTACGGACACTGAGGCCACCATCATGCTTCGTCCCAGGCCAGTCCAGGAGACGAGCAGGGCTTTCCCCGTGCCAGCAGCAATAGAGCTAACCTGTGCACTCTCTTCCCCACCTGCAGGTGCTGGGACCCTGAGCAGAGCGGAGCAGCAGCCTCCTGAGGAGGGGCCTGGAAACCCAGACCTGCAGAAGACTTCCCCAGGGAGACTGGAGGAGAGGGGCTCCCTCACATCTGAGCCAGTTCAAGTGAAGACGGGGCAGAGCAGGCCTCCAAAGCAGGAGGAGAGCTGGGAGGTGAGCAGGGCACCAGGTTCAGTCGTGGGTGGGAGTAGAGCTGGGGCAGAGCCCAGGAGGAGTCAGGGGTGCTGTAAGGAATCTGGGGGGCAAAGAGACCTGAAAAGCATCAAAGCCTGTGTTGATGGGGGCTGCAAACACACCAAGCTGCATTAGCAGGAGCTCCCTCCCAAGTGCAGGGAGCCAGGGGTGTTGGCACAGGAAGGCCTGGTCAGAGTGCATATTGCTCCCTGCCTCTAAAAGTGGTGCCCAGGCTGCCCTAAAGGACCAAGCAAACAGAACATGATGAGCTGGGCTAAAGGTGACACCCAAACTCCTGTGTCCACAGCTGCATCCACATCAGAGGTCAACTGACAAATAGGGAAGATTGCACCCCTACCTCTCATGGCTAATTGTACCACAGCATTTGGCTGCAAATAATTGTAGCACAGAGTAGATTTCATAGATTTCATACACATCAGGGCTGGAAGGGACCTCGGAAGATCATCGAGTCCAGCCCCCCGCCCAAAGGGCAGGAAGTCAGCTGGGGTCATAGGATCCCAGCAAGATGAGCATCCAGTTTCATCTTGAAGGTGTTCAATGAAGGCGCTTGAACCACCTCCGGTGGTAGGCTGTTCCAGACCTTGGGGGCTCGGACAGTAAAGAAATTCTTCCTTATGTCCAGCCTGAAACGGTCTTGAAGTAGTTTGTGAATTCCAGATAGGGCTGGGGGAAGGTGGAAGCAGGTGGGACAGGAGACACTGATGGTGTAATGCTTGTGACTGCAGCTCCGGGAGGTGTTTGAGGACGTGGCCGTGTATTTCACGCGGAAGGAGTGGAAGCTGCTGGAAGATGAAGACAAGGTGCTTTACCAGGACCAGATGCTGAGGAATTATGAAGCCCTCGTTTCTCTGGGTAAAGCTCTGGTTCTTGCTTCTCCCTGGAGCTATGGGAGCTCTGGAGTTTTGTAGCCATTTCCCTGTGTTTCAACAGTCTCATCCTCATGAACCTTTGGCTGGTGGTTTAAATCCACTTCTTCCCCACTGCTCCATCAGTGATCAGGCCTCTCTCACATTTCATACTGATATATCCTCATTCATTTGATCCAGCCGCCTTCACTTGTGTCTTCCCCATTCTTGTGACTTCTTGTGCTTCCTTATTCAGCAGTTTTTGGACAACATCATCTCCCTTTGCGTTTTCAGCACATTCATATCATCTCCAATTCATTGTGAAGAAATGCACTAACAGCTGTTCCTTAGGGAATTATTCTGATTTCTTCTCTCTTCCCTCATGCGTCCTGTCCAAACACAATGAAAAATCCTAGCATCTTCAGTGTTATCTAAATCCTTTTTCTCCTCCTTTGGCTGTCACCCAGCACAAGGTAATAGAAGTTATATCAGCCTCTGCTGCTGCAATAGGTGGACGATGCATTTCCTCAACTCCTGCTCCAGTGACATATGTACACGTGACGTAACCCAGGTACTTCTAGCAAGGCGTCACTGGAAGCTTCTGCCCATCGTCCTTCCTAACATCTTCATCTCCATAGACCAGGAACTGGCTTAGCTGTATTTCCTTTGAAGCCTGTGCTCTTAAGCTCACTCTGCCATTCTCAAAGCTTTCTTGTCCTCATCCTAAAATCACTCTGCAGATGAGGTGCCCATCACTGTGATAAAAAGAAGTGGGTTAGGTGCAGGGTCTAGTGAAAACCAGTTTTCATTTCCAGAGGATCTTTAATACAGCAGCTTGTTTCGGCCTATGTGCAGAGTTAAGGTACTTGCCTTTTACTAGGTCAGTTTGCTTTTCTCATGTTTTCTTTTTCCTCCTTTTCCTCTAGAGCAACTCCTTAGGGAAGTGCTCAAATTCTTTCTCTAGCTCAGCAAAGACCATATAGACCATTTCTACAATATGGCCTTTCACATGCACTTGTCCCTTCTTTTGTCCATATCTGTGACTCTCGGATACTTTGTAATGAACCCTGCAGTATTTCCCAATGTGTGGACTCATCTCCTCTTCTGGGATGATCCTCCCATTGGATGGGATGATTGCTTCAGTTGCAACTACAGTTATTTTAACATCATCGTTCCCTGTGCTTAGGTGAGGATGAATTACACTTTCTCCCAGAAAAAAAGATTCTTTGTTAGGCACCTGTCGTGGATGCATTTCACTGCCGTAAGTCCTCACTTTAAACCTTCACTGAGAATAAGCTCATTTCCACTCTTTTTCCTGGAATTCCACTGATATTATGAATGTTATCCATATATAAGTGTGTCTAATGCCTCTTCATTTTTGGTACCTTGAAAGCAGTAAAAGCTTTATCTTTCTATTCCCTAGTGCATCACGGATCACTGCATCTCCATGCCTGTCCCTGACAACTCTGCCAGTTTAATGCCCTTTCTAAACCAGGAGTGCTTGGTGATTTGTTTCCTCTGAGCATCCCTCCACCCCCTGGGTGGCAAGGACCATCATCTCTTGAGACTTCTCCCTGTAGTGCCTTCTCTTTCACCTTAAACACCCATCCTCCCTTCTCCACCAAGGTCCTAGTAGAAACCTTAAGATCCCTGGATCCATTCCCCAAATCTTGGTTGGTTATTCTATATCCAGTACCTAGTCATGAACTCTCTTTAACCACTGCCCCAAACAGGATATCGAGGTCCTGCACCTGACTTAATCTGCAGCATCCAGCAAGGACAGGTGGAGCTCTGGGTCTGGGATGATGAAGATGGTGGGGAAATCTCAAAGTCGGAGGACCTGCTGCAAGGTGAGTGTGCCTGTGCCCTCCAGCTTACTCCTCTCTCAGAAATGCTCCCTGCACAGCATGCCAGGGGCACCTGGAAACTGCAGACCTGCCCTGTGCTGCCATTGCAAGGTGCTGACCTCAAATACACTACAGTATTCTGTAATGTGTCCAGGAAAGTGGTGTTCCTCCTTCCTAAAATGGAGACAAGGAACCGTTTCATTCTTCCTCCTCTAATGACAGAAGTTAGGGGACATTCAAGTTTGCTGTCTTGTTATTTCGGCCCAGATCTGGTTTCCCTGGGATACCGTGATCTTAAATTTCTATTGTCACTCAGCAATGTAAGAGTTCATTCCCCAGCCACAGGTAGCCATACCTCTCTAACACCCCCCTGCCCCCAGGGCATCACGGGATTGGTAGTCCTCCATGAAAATCACCATCCTATGCAGAGGCTCTGTGTAGCCATTTCTGTGGGACAAGAAAGAAGCTGATGCTTTCCCTGGTTTCCCCTGGTCAGGTTGACCTGGAAGCCAGGAAGTGTTTCGTCATGGTCTCCGGCTGCATTAAAGGGCTCCATGGCATGAGTGGGATTCAGAAGCTTTCGTGTTGTGGGGGCCAGTGAATCCTGTGGTTTGCAACAGAATTGCCCCCTTTCTGTTTTGTCCCTGGGGCTCTGAGTGTCACAAAGCCTGAGACTCAGCACAGAGTCCAGGTTCAGGTTCATGCCGAGGCCTTAGACCTGGTGCAGACTCCTGTGACATGGAGCCCACCTAAGACTTGCCACCAGAAGAAAGCTCCAGGGTTCATTCTCTGAACCAGACCTTGCCCTGGAAGCAGGCAGGAAGCACAGCCCTGCTCCTTTCAGAAGAGAGAGCTGCAGCTCTAAGTCCTCCCATCCTACTCAGCCCTTTAGAGCATGAAACCATTCAGGTACTGTCTTACCGCACATGTCCCACATGTGCTTCTCCCAGCAGGGCCTGAGGTGATGGGTGCTGACAGCTGCACCAGAAACTATTGAGAGTCCTGGTCTGAACTCCACCGAGTAGGGAACGGTAGCCCAGCACAGGGACCTGCCCCTCCCTCACCCCCAGCACTTGGGGTTTTGGCAGGAAGACCTTGTCTTCTTGAGGGAACACAAGTGCCAAGTCCGGGCCTGCTCTGAGGTCCAGCCCATCAGCGTTTGCCCTTTGCCAGCAGGGTGGGCACTAATCTGGTGTTTCTCTTCCCTGTGCAGGAGGTGCCTGGCTGCTGAGCACAGCTGAGGAGCAGGCTGCTGAGAAAGGGTTTGCAGCCCGGGAGCCAGCACAGACTTCCCTAGGGAGTTTGGGTGAGATGGGCTCCCTGGGCGCATCCAGATGTGCACACACATGCCTCTTGCAGTGTCTCAAAGCAGTTTGAGATGCCACAAGAGGCATGCTGGGAAGAAAAGAAAATGTTCCCTGTGCTGCATGTTTGCACTGCAGGCTCTAAATTTGATACCTGGAAATCCTGGTATCTGAATATTTAAATTTGATACTTGGACCATGCCCTGAGGCAACCTGGAGAAGGATTCCTTCAGAGAGATGCTCTGGTATCCAGCCAGAGCGTCTCTATGGCTGTCCCTTGCTCTGCTAACCGAGCATGCCCCTTGAGCGTGCTGGAGGGATTAAAAGTGGGGCAAGGCTGGTACTGGTGTCTGGGATCTGGTTGGGATCTAGGCTTTGTCATCTGTTGCTCTAGAGCCTGCCTGGCGACCAGCACCAGGACCACACGGGGGCCACTTGTGGCCCTGTCCCGGAGGTGGAGGCACCCAGGACTATCCAGGCCACGAGCAGAGTCTAGAGGAGTCAGAGGCTGCAGCAGGGACCATGGGCGATCCTGGTAAGAAGGGGTGTGGGAAAATATGAAGTTTCCCTTCTAAAAGGCAAACCCAGGTTTCCCTGTTTGCAAACAGCTCTCTGCAGGCTCAGTTTCAGCTTGCAACAGCCACTTGCAAACAGGCGAGAACCTAAGAGGCAGCCACGGAGCCCGCCCGGCCCAATGGCTTGTATGGGCCCCGCGGTGCTGGGGGGGAGGGTACTGTGTGGGGTGGGCCCCCCTACGGCACACAGCCCCCATAGCAGGCCGCAGCAGGGCCATGAACGAGGCGAGGGCCAGCTGCAGACAGAGACCCCTGGTGGTTCATGGCGTGGCTTGAGTCACAGAGCTACACGTGGTGCAGGGCGCTGGCCCAGCCTGCACCACTGGTGGGGTGTGTGGGGGAGGGGTTCGTGGGTGGGTGTGGGGGGGCCACCACACTTCTGTCCCTACCTGTGCCACACACAGCCCCAGCAGCTGGTGACATCAGGCAGCAGTGGGACTGTGAGCAGTGAGTCACGGGGCAGCGACCTGGCCCAATGCCATGTGCCCTCACCTCAGGCAGGACCAGGCTGGTACTTGCCGCCACATGTAGCACCAGGTGGAGGGTGCATGGCATTGGGCTGAGTCAGTGCCTTGCACCACGTGTAGCCCCACGACTCACCTCTCACAGTCCCAGTGCTGCCTGATGCCACCAGCCGCTGGGGCTGTGCATGGCGGGGGTAGGGGCAGGAGTATGGTGCCCCCTCCCCCCCCACACCCCATCCATGGTGCCAGCTGGGCTGGTGAACTATGCCTCATGTAGCTCTGCAACTTAAACAGTAGGGCTGTACGAAGCTACATTTTTCCCCGCACAAAAAGAAATCCGTGTTTTCCCTGACAGTGTGTCATCACTGTGCAGGAAAGCACAACATATACACACACACACATTTTGCAGCACACCAAACACAAGTGTGCTGGAAAGGCAGGTGCCAGGTCTTCTGGCAGGGGAGGGAGAGGGGGCAGAGGGAGAGCAGCAAGTTCCCCTACCCCCCCAAACATAGACTCACCCTTCTTTCCTGGCAGCGATGAGTCTTTTGCTGCTAGTGGGAGCAAGGAGGTGGGAGCAGTGTCTACACCTGCACCAGCTCCACTAACACCAGCACCAGCATGACAGTCTCCATCCCAATTTCAGTTCCCAGCGTGAGCCTTCCAGTGCCAGAGGAGAAGCTGGATCTGCAAGCAGAGGAGCTGACTGCCATAGCTAAGGAAATTCTGGGGAAGGAGGGGGAATTTGAGTTTGTGCTCTACACTCTTCAAAATTCCCCTAGATTCAGGTCTCTTCTGGAAGGCACTTTGGGGCAGGTTGTGGGGGCAGGTGGCTCAGTTCCTCCTGTTGTTGTGCCTCTGCCTGGTGAGGAG